GACTTACATGAAAATATTCCAAAATAATCTTCTAATAGAAGACTTATATAAAATTCTTCCCAAAATCTTCTAAACCATAAATTTTAATATTTGTCCAGAAGACTTACATTCAATTTTTCTAAAACATTATTTGTTAGAAAACGTTTCAATAAGTTATCTAAACCTTAAAAGAAAGTAACTAGCTAAATAGCAACAAATATTTCACTAAACTTAAAATCGACTTTTAAAGTGTTAAATATACACAAGACTAATCACATATTTGTCAAATTTTTTTGAAGTTCCAATTCCAAATCCAACTCTAAGAACATAAACAATACTATAACATATGTTACTAAACTCTAAACCAAAGAATATCATGATATAATCTACATTTATTCATGTATGTTGAAAACAATATAATTTTACTGAACATATATTTATGTCATTTAGGAATGTCTATAATTACATGATTGTGTTTTTTTTTCCTATCAAAATATTTTTTTTATAAAATTTATAAATTTCTTTAAGATCTAAACATGACAAGATTTGGAAAACTTTCTCAAAGATTTATTGGAAGATTTATCAGGAAACCTAATTTCCTTAAAAATTAAGCGGAAAATGGTAGATTGTGTTGATAAGTTTTCCAATAAATTTTCTAATGCATTATCTGATTTTGGGAAGTCTTCCAAATCCCAAAGTCAAATATTTAACAAAAAATTCATTAAATTTAAAATCAACTCATAAAGTGTTTAATATACACAAAACTAAACATTTATAGGTCACATTAAGTTTTAAGAAAAAAAATTCAAGTTCCATAATCTAACCTTAAAACACACAAACAATAAAATAACATAGTTATCAAACCCCCAACCAAAGAATATCATAACTCAACTTACATTCACTCATCTTTGTTGAAAACTATTCAATTTTAGTAAATTTAAATTTACATCATTTACAAATATCTATAATTACATGATTATGATTTTTTTCTAATCAAAATATTTTTATTAAATCTATAAATTATTTTTAAGAACTACTATATGAGAAAGCATATCTGAAAGTATTCTCATGTGCAGGATTATAATCGTAAAACTTGATACTAGTTTTTTTTTATTGGTCATAAAAAACTGATTGTAATTGATTGAAGTTGAGATACATATTTACATTTAAAATCAAGTTTTGGATCATATTTGACAAATCTCTCCATATTTATGTCACATTCTGAGATGGAAATTCACTAAAATGAAAATTAAAAATATTATCTAAAATATTGTTGATAAAAAAATAAGTTTGGAAACGGAATTAACTGCGAAAGAACGTAGGGTTTAAAAAAAATAGTACATTAGTTCAAATCAATTTGCTCTCTTGTTAATATGGATAAAAATAGTTTTAAAATATGTTTTTGGGACAGATTCTCTAAAATTTGAGACATTTTATTAATATGGATTATTTGGATATAAATATTTCAAATCCATCTTCTATATTTTTGTATCTGTTTGAATAAATAAACAGTTTGGAACGAAGAAGTTATTCAAGTGCAATTGAAAATAGCATCAGGAAATCAAAACGGATATGGCATGGACATCTAAACTATCAACAACTAGATTTTGACCCGCGCAACCGCGCGGATATTTGTTTTCTGTGTATAAGTAGTTATATAAACATTTTGTTTTCACTTGTAAATTGGTATATATCATAGTAATCACATATTTACGATATTTATAGTAAATATTTTTCAAACATAATAATATTATATAATACAATGTTTTAATCAAATAGATTATTTCAAATTTTCTATATTATACATGTTTTTAAAACATGTGTTTGTTTCTTCTTCTATATTTTATTGTTTGTTAGATTAGTATTTCATTTTTAGATAAATTAATATAAATAGAGCTTGATTAAATATTAGTATACTTTAATTTTCAAAGATAATATAAACTTTGAAGAAATTTTTGCTAAAAACTAAACTTATAGCTTCATAAATTAATATTATAAAGAATTTTATTAAAANTGTGTTTGTTTCTTCTTCTATATTTTATTGTTTGTTAGATTAGTATTTCATTTTTAGATAAATTAATATAAATAGAGCTTGATTAAATATTAGTATACTTTAATTTTCAAAGATAATATAAACTTTGAAGAAATTTTTGCTAAAAACTAAACTTATAGCTTCATAAATTAATATTATAAAGAATTTTATTAAAAAATAATTTTTTAAACAATTTCTTTTTTAAAAACAATATAATTTTAAAATTTACATCGAAATAAATTTATCTAGTATATATAGCGTGTAAACTTTGTTAGGGTATATAAATATTCTATATTACGAATATGTGATTTTTGTTAATATATTGTGAATTCATTTAACTATTATTGACATATTTCCTCATAAATAATAGAAGATTCCTAGACTTATATCTTTTCACATATTTTGCGTGACTAAGTTGGAAGGTGTGGGATAATTTACCAAAACGGAATTGTTAAGCGTATATTTGTTACTATAGATATGATTTTTCATAAGATATAATAATGATAAGATTATTAGAGAGTTAATGCAACATGACTTTCTAGTAATAGTCCATTTTAAAAAAAATCACACATGAAGTCAAGTCATGACTTCTGTTTTAATATATAAGATATATTAGTTTCCAGAAAAAAATATCAACAATACATAACAATTTTTTTATCAATGAATTATATCCTCCTAATTTCGAAAAGTGAATTTTCTAAAATAGACCTAAAAGGTTTTTGTCATAAATGTAATCATTAAAAATAAAAATGACCAAAATAAATTTAAATATTTTATCAAAAGAAATAAATATACACTTATACTTTTAGGGTTAATTAATTTAGACACTAAGGTTTAAAGTCAAAATATGAAATTTAGAATTTAAGGTTTAAGATTTAGAGTTGATGAATGAAGCTTTGGAGATAAGATTTAAAATTTAAAATAAAAAATTTAATATTTTTAAAATAAAAAATATTATTTTGATCATTTTAGTTTTTTTTTAGTTCTATTTTTGTGACAAAAACTTAAAATGATATATTTGAGAGAATTCTCTTTTTGAAAAATTATACATCAATGTATGTGTTTCCAAAAAATAAAATAAATCTCTATAATATTATTTGAGAAGTCAGTTTCTTACGTGTCGCTCTCACGTTAACTGTCATGATGGTTGATTACATAGATACCCTTAATGAATTGTTAGATTTTAAAATTATTATTAATTTTATTTTATTTAGTTTCTTTTTTACCTTTTTCCAAATAACATATATAATAAAATGGAAATATTTCTAAATTTTATTTAAAAAATTAAAAACGAAATTATATGTCTATAATATGACTTTATTAAAAAGGAAAGTTCA